ACAAAGCTGCACCCTGTAGAACAATTCATGAAATCGAAAAAAAGGAAGCAATCCAGCCCAGTGAAAATTCCGGCCGTCAGTGGTTAACGAGTAAGTGACTGGTTCTATTACCAGTACTTTCTGGGGAATTAAAAAAATATACATTGTAAGAAAAATAGAAATACAAAAGTTGCCAACATGTGCTCACCTCTAAACTTCTTTGGTGGACTTTCTGGTCGCCCATCACGTAATTCCACTATGCAGCGGTCATCTACCAGACTAAAATGTAAACTTATTTTTGGATTCTGGGGCTGATTTTGGTTTTACACATGCAGAAGGTAGTGAGAAAATATTTGCAGAAGAAAATGAAAAGAAAGGAGAAAAAGGAGCATAAGGCTCAGCACTTTAGAGCCTGTCCAAAACAAACTTGGCCACGCCCCTAGGACCTGATCGTCTCCTTAACGGAAGAGTTCTACGAATTCCAGTGGATTCAAAAAACTCCTTGAGCAGAACTAGGGTCACGTTTATATGAATCAAATAATTTTGCTAGAAAATGGTTTACTTAGCCGCTGGGAGCTGCTCAGCCCGTCAGAATTACCGTAATGAGATAATTACCGTATCTCCATCATAGAAATTCTAGTTTTGCACAAGTTGTTTCAATGAAGTTAACGATACAAGCGACAAGGAATTAATAAATCTCAAAAGCTAACCCTAATGTGCTCAGGAAACCTCGTAGATCAGCGGTTTCCTCTGTGTAGAGCGAGATAATGTCGCCAAAATGTAGCAATGATGTGTTGCCGCCGTCCATGCTCATACACAACGAGCCTTTACGCAGAAATGGAAGCGACATGCTAGAAAAAAATTCTTTTTTGAATACAGATAATGTCGACAACTAATCCACAGCATCGATTGATTCGCCCGAGCCAGTAATTAAACATGGTTTTCCACGAGGAACCGAAATTTACAGATGATGAAAGATTGCCAAAGAATTGATGAAAATCCTTTATTAGGTTCAATGAGTATCTCTTAGTTTTTGGAGGGCTGGCACTCTTCAACAGATTATGGGGACCATAAAAAGTACTTTAGACATCATCGGGACCATAAAAAGTACTTTAGACAACGTCAAAGGTGGCCGATTGTCCTTGAAGACGTTTGGCTAGTTTATCGAAGAATGTTTCACATGAAGAGATTTTAATATTTTTTCAGTAGAGAAGAAAATGGATGTAAAAGTATTTTGACTCATAATATTGCAGAAATATTACATAGAGAGAAGAGGGGGTATGAAATGCTCTCGAAGCATTAATGAGGATGAAGGAAAGCGCTGTTCGGCGACGGGGGGCATTTTGCTTCCCACCGATGTGCCGACCCATCTAGGTAGCCTTTTCTTGAGTTGACACGTTTTACCATGGTGGCTAGACGAGCTTGCTCCAGCTTCACAAGAGTTCACAAGTTTCACCAGAGTGAGACTTGTAAACCGGAAGTAGTGAAGCAGTGAAAGTGCAAAATGCCCCTCCCCCCCTTCCCCTGCCTCACCTGCCGCCGAACTGCACCAAGGACGAAGTCTTCGCCGTTGAGTCAGTCTTTCTGGGATGCGGCACGCAGTTTTACTTCCATTCAGAATCGTTGTGGCTTTGAATGCGATGCTGTCTATACAATTGACTTGCGGAGCCGATGAGAAAGTCAGTGTTTTTATCCTCCAAATCAAACTTGGTACCAATTTGCCATCCTAGGAGGATAGAAGGCTTCGTTGGTCTGGGCGGGAGACGATCACTGCCATTGCATTCCCGGAGCGGTGACAGCAAAAATTGCAAAATTGGAGTGCATAAGGAAGTAGTAAACAATAGAAATTGGGCGGCTTAGGGAGCATTTTGCACTTTCGCTACTTTCTATTGCCACTTCCTGGTGAAGATGTCCCACCCTGGTGAGCCTTGTGGTAAAGGGAGGAGCTGTAGGATCTGTAGTAAAGTGTAAACGTCTCATAGCAATCGCATAGCTTTACAGGAGTTTACAGTCTCCACAGGGCACATCGGCTGTGATCAATGGAGACCAGAATAATG